ATATTTACATTTCTTTATTTGAGTAATGGGCAAGCAAATCATCACACGAGGCACTTTAAAATATTTTGGAAGCCGAACACTCTCATCATGATCCATCTGAATGATATGAGAAAATTCTCAAGGTACATGCAAACCCCGTATTAGACGAGTAATAATCACAAGATAGACAAAGGGTCTTTAAATAAAAACAAAACAAACTTACAATTCAATATGGGCATACTGCTCCATGTAACTCGGTAGACAATCAACATGTATTGGCATCGTATTGCTCCTAGCCTGGTTTGAATTAGACAAGTGTTTAACACGCTTTGGCATCGTATTGCTCCTATCCTAGTTCAAATTAGGACAAGTCTGCATAAGTGATCGATTGAATCATATCAAACTGTCTCATACAAAGATTGGTATAATAGGCCCGTTTTGTTTCAAGAATCTTTATTCTCATTCCAACAATCTTTAATGCTGTGTTTGGTTGGGGGATTTGGGGAAAGATTTGGAAAGGGAAATGAAAAAGGTAGGTGAAATATGAATAAATCATACCTATATTTCACATAGTTTCGCACACCTTTTTCCTTTCTCTTTCTAAATCCCTCTCCAAATCCCTCAACCAAACACAGCATAAGACAAACTCATAAATAGAACAGGGAAAATCATATGATCATCCTTCAAATAAATAATCACAAGAACCACACCTATATCCACTTTGTTGTAATTGTCCTTCAATCAAGTAATCACAACTCATAATTGGACCTACGCACACCAACTCATCAATAGTTATGAAAAACCATATGTAATTAGAGCAACAAATGTGGAGGTAACTGTTATGCTCAACCAGGTTTTGATCAGTGTAGCTTAGACTGTAAGAACTAATCATTGTTGGGCATCAAAGATTTTTAAGTTTATATTCGCAAAAAGTAATACAGTTTTAGTTGACTGTAAAAACTAATTTTGGCATCAAAGGTTTCTAGGTTTATATTATCAAAAAGTGAGACAATTTTAATTGCAGATAGAGTATATATCAAATTTTCATAATGATACATTGTGCAACCTCAATAGTCACATTGTTATTGACTGATATCAACTCTTAATGCTATTCTAATAACGTTCTTTTTTTTTCAATGTTTGAGACAATTGTTAAAAGGTTTTTTTGGTTAAATGTTAGAATGACCCGACCCTCTAACTGAACATAGTTGTGACCCATATAGCTTAAGGCTTGATATGGGTTGAAAGAGTGCCTGGGTTGCAACCCAATGGACCCAATGATAGTAGTTGTAAGGGTACCGAGCCCACTTCATTCCACCTGATGAAATTATAGAGAAAGATAAAGAGAGAGAAAATATAAACTCTATATATTGGCCCCGTTTGGTGTATCTGTTAAAACAGCTTATAGATTATAGTTTAACAGATTATAAATTATGACTTTAATCAGAAGTTGTTAATCTGTTTGGTGTAACTGTTGGATTATAGATTTAAGTTGCTAAGTAGTTTTTGTTAAATAAGCTGTGAAATAGCTTTTTCAATTAATTTTATTTTTTGTTTGTCTACATTTCTCATAAAAAAAAATAATAATAATCTATAGTCCATTTGAGTCTTTTTCTATTTTTAAAAAAATAAAAAATAAAAAAATTTAAGAGTATAACTATAAATTAACATGTCCACAGCAGAAGCTGATAATCAGAAACAATGGGTGAACAACTTCTCAGAATCAGCTTTTTTGAGTTAAAATAAACTGTTAGAATCAGAAGCTGTTTGAAATAAGTTTAACCAAACAGTTCAAAATAACTTTTTCAAAGCTAAAAGCCATAAATTGACTCTGAAAAACTGAAACAAACACCCCCATTGAGTGTTGATAAACAAGATACAATGAGCTCCTTTATATAGGCGAGAAAATTCAATTTTCTCTCTCCTCTCTCCTCTCTTCTCTCTTCTTCTCTTTTTTTTATTATTAATAAATCAATCAATCGTTTTTGCTCTCTCCTCTCTCATCTCTCATTCTCTCACATTCTAAAATTAATTTTTTCTCACACCTATCTATTCAACTACAAAAAAATAAAAAATAATTACAAATCATCCCAAAACTATTTTTAAAACTCATAACCAAACAAATTTTTAACTTTTAAAACTCTTTTCGACAACTTATCTTTCATAATACAATTCAAAGCTAATTTCAAAAACTAAGCCCAACAGAGCTAATTTTTACAAATTATAAAAAGAAAGTACAATAATATATATTGTAAAATAGATTTTTTTTTCTTCATAATTATATCCGTAATGGCATGACAAATAAAAAATAAATTAGGAAAAATTATTAGAAAAAAAAATCCCAAGTTTGAGTCTTGTAACAAAATAATTTTTTTATTTTTTATTTTATCAATTTAAATTCTAAAATTTTCATTTGTTTTCAATTTAAATCATTTTTTTATTTCCATTAAGTAAAATCGATGGAAAAACATGTATTTTAATCATTAAACTCAATAAAATGTGTATTTTAGACTTTTTATGAGTTTAATGACAAAAATAATATTTTTTTATCAGTTTTATTTAATGAAAATAGACTAATGATTTAAATTGAAAAATAAATAAAAAAATTAGAATTTAAGTTGATAAAATTAAAACTCATTACTTTTTTGTTACAAGGCTAATTTTTTTTTTAATTGTCCCAATAAATTATAAACTCAATTTGGTAGATACTAATCAATACAAATAAACATTTTCTAACCCCCAAAAAAAAAAAATTATTCATAAAAAGTAGATGCTATAGGGGGTGTTTGCTAGGGCTTTTTTTAGCCAACTTATGGCTTCTGGCTTTTAAAAAGTTATTTTAGATTGTTTGGTTAAACTTATTTCAAACAGTTTCTGATTCTAACAACTTATTTTAAATGAAAAAAGCTGATTCTGAGAAGCTGCTCACTCCTTGCTTCTGATTATCAGTTTCTGCTGTGGACATATTTATTCACGGTTATACTCTTAGATTTTTTTATTTTTTATTTTTTTTAAAATAGAAAAAGACACAAATGGACTATAAAATATTATTATTATTTTTTATGAGAAATGTAGACAAATAGTGAATAATAAAAAATAAAAGTTAATTAAAAAAGTTACTCCACAGTTTATTTAACAAACACTACTTAGCAATTTAAATTTATAATCCAACAACTATACCAAACAGATTAACAGCTTCTAATTAAAGTCATAATTTATAATCTGTTAAGTTATAATTTATAATCTGTTTTAACACTTATACCAAACAGGACCATAGGTGAGACCCATATAGCTTAAGGCTTGATAAGGTTGAAAGACCGCCTGGGTTGCAACCCAATGGACCCAATGATAGTAGCTGTAAGGGTACCGAGCCCACTTCATTCCACCTGATGAAATTATAGAGAAAGATAAAAGAGAGAAAATATAAACTCTATATATTGAGTGTTAATGAACAAGATACAATGAGCTCCTTTATACAGGAGAGAATACACATGGTAAATATGAAAGGAATTCAAATGGACGGTTGCACCATTTCATTCAAATGGAGTCTATTTCAATTTACCACTGCTTTTTATAAATTTTCCAACAAATACAATTGCAAGATTCAGCTGTTTTGCAAGGCTCCTTTCCACCCTTCACACTGTGCACACAGAAAAAAATAGGAGGCCATGTTAGGGGTACTAACAGTGGAAAAGTTAAAGCACATTGAAATTGTATTAAACAGATTAAATTAGATCAAAGAAGCATACCTTCGTAAGTATTGGGATGATCAGTACAAACAGTTACAACTCAATTTGCAACCATGAAAATAGATTCCAGTTGCATCTGAATAAATCGTTTGATGTTTTCGCAACTCAATCATAGATGATGGAATCATCAAAGCTTTTACCTTTCTGAACTGTCTGTAACCCATTAGAGGCCCGGGAAACAAAGAGAAGATGTGTATGAACGAGAATTTTGACATCTACCTATACCGTAATTCCAATCAACAGATTCATTGAACAGCTCTTGAATCATTGCTATTTAACTCGGACCTATTCTAAAAAAACCAAGGTATTTCGAATTCTTTGTTGACACAAGGATTTTAATGAACCTATTTGGGTTCTATATTTGTTCAAATACATTAAAGAATTAAGTTATCGGATGTTTAATCAAACAACAAAGGCAAGGATTAAATAGAGATGTTTAATTACAATCCTTGTACAACTGGAAGTCAAGAATATTTCCGGTAACGATTTGAAATAACTACTTCAACCTTAAATTTGAATCCATTCTTAATAAGCAACTTAAATACTTCCATATATATCATTGATATCTAAATATGAGTTATAAAATATAATGTTAAGGCACAATCCTTACATAATTAAATTCAAATTCATGAATCCAAATGCAACCTTCAAGAATAATTGAAATTAATACAGATGCATAGCAAGAACAACAATGTTTAATAGAAGCAATACAAATACAGGTGTGAGTTCAATAAACAGGGACCTCTGTTTTGGTCTGTACTCTGTTGTTAAGTTGATATCAATATTCATGGAGATCTAAGAATACCGACCACTATTATCACTATTATTGGGACTGCCAGAGTCAGGCTTTCCACCTAAAACACATGGAATTTCTTAGGTATCCCTAAATGTATATAGCATCTCCAATTTCAAGTTCTGATTTTTACATCCCATTGAACAACCCTCTGTTTGTTGCTGTACAAGTATCAGGAGATAAGAAAGCTACCAAAATCTTTTTAGGTACCACTATCACAAGAAAGTCCACTAAAACTTCATATATATTATATTTTGTTTGTCCTCTATTAATCATTTGCAATAGGCAGGGAATCTTCATCAAGAAGAATAGTTAAATTCAAGTTCCAGCATCCCCAGTGAACCATACTTTCATTGAAAACTCTAGATTTATTAGGCAACCTCAAATTCAATGACAACTTAAAATTCAAGCATCAGACAATACAATAATGCACATAGAATTGAAGAGAGGAAAAAAAATTATTGTCTACCAACATTATATGCAATCCTAAAGAATAAAAATACTTCGTTTTCATTAAAATAAGTGGAATTATGTACATTAGAAGTCAATTTTCCATACCTTGCAATATACTACAAAAACAACAGCATATACAAAAATAGAGGTCTCCATTATGCAAAAAGCTCTGATATTCACAATGTATTCAATTATCATCTGTTTTGTCTTCATACAAGTATCAGGAGCTATGGAAACTACCAACATCTTCAGATATTATCCTCCTACAATGCAATCAATGAAAATAAGAGGCTCAGTAGTGCACTTGCCAATCCACACAGTCATCTAAGTCGAAACTGCTTGCACAATCCATTAATGCATTTTGCTGCCGCTCATATCGGCATACATAATTTAACCCAACTAGAAGTTCACAGATTGCTGCCTCGGTCTTTTCTCTATCAGCAAAATATATAGTCTGCAACAGAAGGACATTTGTTCGCGAAACAACCTGTTGTTGCTCAAAATTACGCTCACTTTGCCACCTGATCATGTTATGTGCCAATGGAGCAAGCCACCTCAGCATCTCATCAAGCTTCTCTTTCCAATCAAGAGCAAGAGGAGCATCGTATATTGCTAACTCTTTGACACAAGACTTTAAACTAGACTTCAAAGACATCCTTAAACTTGTCGGCAACATCTGATACAGATTGTCCCTAGCTTCCTCCCCAACTAAATGTGGGTATTCAAGCAATTTCTCTATGACAATTATGACATTCGCATAATGCAAGGCTAGAGCAGAGCCACCAACAGTGGAAGGAGGAGCGTACAATGCTAGCCTAATCTTGGGGCCAAATCGAGAGCCATTTATCACACTACACTTGGCTTGAATTTGATCACCACTTTGAGGCCAAGTAAAGCAACCTGAATGATTTGGGTTTTCTCTCTTCACACCACTTGAAACACTGCAAGAAGCCGAGATTTCACTTGATCGATCATCATGACCAACACCCTCCTCCTCTTCATCATCTACTTTAGAAACTGAGCTGCTCAAACTAAGGCATGTCATGAATAGCCTCCCGGGGCCAGTCCCACACGCAAAATTGGAATCTTCGGAACGAAACAATGGTACTTCACCTCTAGGCCTAATATCTGTCCCCCTTCTCTCCACCACATCTATCTCAATCGAACCCGAATGATTATAACCATTGCTCTTGCTCAAAACTGGTCTTAATCGATCAGAATTCACCTGAAAACTGCGATGGGTATCAATTTGACCAGATTTCTCCCCACATTCATTGCCTCCATAATTAAACTCCCTACCCAAAACAGCATCACCAAAGACCAAACAAATCCTTAGATAAATTGTACACAAAGTTCTTGCCAACAACTCCACAATCTTATCATATGTCTGGTTCCAAAGCGAAACATCCTTGAGATGCTTCACATCCTGGTTCTGCCACATCAATTTCTGCTCAAAAGCCTTTCGTCTCTCTTCGTGTTGATTGTTCTGAAACTTCTTTTTTGCCTGTTCTAATTCATTCAAAACCCGCAATTCAGAGTAGAGATTGGCAGTCGAATTCACATACTTCTCCATCTTCCTCACCATCCCATCCATGTCCTTCACCAAAAACCCCAATTCCTTCACATCTATAGCTCCACAAACTATATCCCCATAAACATGCTCGAACCCTTGAAGCGCCGGAACCAAACACTTCTTCCCCAATCTCGACACAGCTCCAGCAACCCTGTTCAGGTCGTCGACCTTCTCGGCTAGGGCTAGCTCGAGTAGATAAGTCTCGTCCGATGAGACTAGATTTCTGACTCCATATGAATTCATTGAGATCTCGGTTTTGAGCTTGGAGAAGGAGTGATGGGTCAGTGATTTGTGGAGGTGAATGGTTTTGGACATCACGTTCGCGACTTCGAATGAGAGAATTCCGATTTTCTCAATGTGTTGTTGGTTTTTGGGTGTTCGTTTCTTGGAAGAGTGCTTCAGATTGGTGGTTGCTTGGTTACCCATTTTTCGAATCCAAGGCTCGGCCACCATTGCTGAATTTGATGGTGATCTGATGAGAAGTTTCTCAGTTCTGGAAAAAGGGTTTTGCTAAAATGTTACAATTTGGAGGAGGATTGTCGAGTGGTCATCGATTTTGTGCTGAAGAAAGTTGGAGCAGCTCTCAAATGCGCGTGTTCTTCAGAGGGAAAGCTGCAACAGTGTTGCATTTTAGCAGGCGTGGAGAGAGAGAGAGAGAGAGAGAGGAGGGAATTGTGTGAGAGCCTGTGACTCTGCTCTCTCTCTATCATTTGTAATGATTTTTTCAAAAGAGGAGAGAGAGAGAGAGAGCGATGTTTGAGAATATTACATTTGCACCATTTCAAATTGAAAGTTTCATCTTTTGACCCTTATAAAAATCCTAAAATTTCTTCATCCTTGTCCCATTGTTTATTTATTTTTATTTTTTTTATCTCACTTGTCCCATTGTGTTTGAACAAAGATTTTATCAAAGTTTGAAATTTTTTCTTCAATCTTGTCCCACTTGTTTGAACAAGGATTTATTAAAGACTGAAAAAAGAATAGTACAACCTTCCATAGATGTTCCAAATGAAAATGTTTACGAATAGCAATAGTCATTTTGAATTATTTTAGAAAGATAATTAAAAGTTATTTTTCAATTTTGAATTTATTTTGAATTATTTTTTTTATTCTTTTACACATTTTTTAAAAAAAAATTAAAAAATTAACTTTTAATAATCTTTTTAAAATAACCCTCTGTAATGTTTATGAATGGCAAAAGTCAATAACGATTGAGTAACATTGCCTCACACTAGATCAAGAGATGTTATGATTAAGTCACAATTATTATTTATGGTGTCTTGGTTGAGGTTTTTTCTAAATTTTTTTTGATAATCTAAATCGTTCATATTATAAGATTCGGTGAATAAATCATTTATGGGAGAAATCAAATTAATTGAAAATTTATAGTTTTATAACAAGAAGACATTTGTTTTTTAAAAAATAAACAGTTAACAAAATCTTGATAATTTTTGTAAAACAATTTAAATCTGATTATGGAATTGAGGATTTTTGATTAATTTGATTTTTCATTTGAATGATATACTTGATAAATTTTACAACATAAACCATTTAAATTATCAAAAAAGACTTGAAAAAACCCCAGCAAAATACCACAGATCCCTGCTAGATCCCCGATTCCACGGAGGCCTTTGCGAGTTACTTCAAATTGGAACTCCTATCCTGTAAAATAAACTGATGTATATTATTGATTGACGTATATTACAAGATTGATGTGTCTATATTTTGTACAAGAATTCCTATTATATAGGAGATGATTCTGGAGTAGGTGAGGAGTGAGTGGTAGAGGTAGGTTTGGTGGAGTGTAGTAGGTGATAGGAGTAGTAGGTGGAGGTAGGTTTGGTGGTAGGTGTAGTAGTAATTTACATTTACATTAACAGCCCCCCTCAAACTCAAGGAGGATAGGTACTAGCCAACTTGAGTTTGGAGAGAGTAACAAAACAGAAAAATAAGCTGACAAATAAAATTAAAAATGGGATAGGAGACACTGTATGGTCGTGTCGGACCGTTGTAGCAGACAGTTTACGGGGTCATGTCAGACCGTTGTAGCAGACACTGTGTGGTCGTGTCAGACCGATGTAGCAGACAGTTTATGGGGTCATGTCGGACCGTTGTAGCAGGACAGTTTATGGGGTCATGTCGGACCGTTGTAGCAGGACAGTTTACGGGGTCATGTCGGACCGTTGTAGAAGACAGTTTACGGGGTCATGTCGGACCGTTGTAGAAGACAGTTTATGGGGTCATGTCGGACCGGTGTAGAAGACAGTTTATGGGGTCATGTCGGACCATTGTAGAAGCTGACCGGAATCAAATGTCGGGACAGTTTATGGGGTCATGTCGGACCGATGTAGCAGAGGTTGTGGTGGTGCACCAAGGGGGCGACTTAGGGAGTGCGCAATGAGCGACTTATACATGATACTGTGTATAACCCCCCCTCAAACTCAAATAGGTGTGAAGATAGAAACCTATTTGAGGTTGAAACAAAGGGATGGATAAAGCTGACCGGTGTAGAAGACACTGTATGAGTGTGTAGATAGGCTGCCCAAAAAATATACATGTAGATATATATCGAGCCCTCAAAAGTCGTGCCCTCAAAAGGCGTGCCCACTTTATCAAAAGATGTGCCATAAAAAGGCGTGCCAGTGTGTCGGGCGTCAAGAGGCGCGCGATGCGCGTGGCTGCCTCGGCTATTTAACCACGACGGAGCTTGAGGCCGAGGCAGAGGCAAAAAACCTGCGAAATCCACTGAAAAACTCTTCGTTGTGCTGAGAGAGAGAGTCTGTAACACTCTGTTGCGAGAGATATTCTGTAACACTCTGTTGCCCAGAAAATGGCCTCTTCGTCCCGCCCTCTACTTACTCTCTTTCCCGACCTCAACGAGTCCACAAGAGAGATAACTGGTGCAGTGTCTCGTGAACCTCAACCAAACACCACTGGGTTTGCTCCGTTGAACTTTCCGATGCAGTCGGTGGAGCAAAAAATGGCAGTGCAAACGAGTAGGTGATAGGAGTGAGTGGTGGAGGTAGGTTTGGTGGAGTGTAGTAGGTGATAGGAGTGAGTGGTGGAGGTAGGTTTGGTGGAGTGTAGTAGGTGATAGGAGTGAGTGGTGGAGGTAGGTTTGGTGGAGTGTAGTAGGTGATAGGAGTGAGTGGTGGAGGTAGGTTTGGTGGAGTGTAGTAGGTGATAGGAGTGAGTGGTGGAGGTAGGTTTGGTGGAGTGTAGTAGGTGATAGGAGTGAGTGGTGGAGGTAGGTTTGGTGGAGTGTAGTAGGTGATAGGAGTGAGTGGTGGAGGTAGGTTTGGTGGAGTGTAGTAGGTGATAGGAGTGAGTGGTGGAGGTAGGTTTGGTGGAGTGTAGTAGGTGATAGGAGTGAGTGGTGGAGGTAGGTTTGGTGGAGTGTAGTAGGTGATAGGAGTGAGTGGTGGAGGTAGGTTTGGTGGAGTGTAGTAGGTGATAGGAGTGAGTGGTGGAGGTAGGTTTGGTGGAGTGTAGTAGGTGATAGGAGTGAGTGGTGGAGGTAGGTTTGGTGGAGTGTAGTAGGTGATAGGAGTGAGTGGTGGAGGTAGGTTTGGTGGAGTGTAGTAGGTGATAGGAGTGAGTGGTGGAGGTAGGTTTGGTGGAGTGTAGTAGGTGATAGGAGTGAGTGGTGGAGGTAGGTTTGGTGGAGTGTAGTAGGTGATAGGAGTGAGTGGTGGAGGTAGGTTTGGTGGAGTGTAGTAGGTGATAGGAGTGAGTGGTGGAGGTAGGTTTGGTGGAGTGTAGTAGGTGATAGGAGTGAGTGGTGGAGGTAGGTTTGGTGGAGTGTAGTAGGTGATAGGAGTGAGTGGTGGAGGTAGGTTTGGTGGAGTGTAGTAGGTGATAGGAGTGAGTGGTGGAGGTAGGTTTGGTGGAGTGTAGTAGGTGATAGGAGTGAGTGGTGGAGGTAGGTTTGGTGGAGTGTAGTAGGTGATAGGAGTGAGTGGTGGAGGTAGGTTTGGTGGAGTGTAGTAGGTGATAGGAGTGAGTGGTGGAGGTAGGTTTGGTGGAGTGTAGTAGGTGATAGGAGTGAGTGGTGGAGGTAGGTTTGGTGGAGTGTAGTAGGTGATAGGAGTGAGTGGTGGAGGTAGGTTTGGTGGAGTGTAGTAGGTGATAGGAGTGAGTGGTGGAGGTAGGTTTGGTGGAGTGTAGTAGGTGATAGGAGTGAGTGGTGGAGGTAGGTTTGGTGGAGTGTAGTAGGTGATAGGAGTGAGTGGTGGAGGTAGGTTTGGTGGAGTGTAGTAGGTGATAGGAGTGAGTGGTGGAGGTAGGTTTGGTGGAGTGTAGTAGGTGATAGGAGTGAGTGGTGGAGGTAGGTTTGGTGGAGTGTAGTAGGTGATAGGAGTGAGTGGTGGAGGTAGGTTTGGTGGAGTGTAGTAGGTGATAGGAGTGAGTGGTGGAGGTAGGTTTGGTGGAGTGTAGTAGGTGATAGGAGTAGTAGGTGGAGGTAGGTTTGGTGGTAGGTGTAGTAGTAATTTACATTTACATTAACATATCCTATGTTTGCTTAGGGCTAGTTTGGTAAGCCTAAAATAATTTAAAAAGTCAAAAAGTTACTTAAAAATTAAAAAAGTCATTACTATTCATAAATAAAAAATATTAAAAAAATATTTTATATATTTTTATAATACAAAAGTGTACTTAGATACTGTCAGCCGTACCTTTGAGACTTGCAGGCCATTATACATTTTTTGGGTCAAAAAAAAATAAATACATATGTAAAGCCACAAAGTTTGATGGTAATGTTGGGCCCTAGGGGCTCACTAAGGGTTTCATTTTGATAATCTGAACCATTCAATATGTAGAACTCGTCGAGTAATATATGGCTGTAAACAATCACGTTGATCGGATATCATTAACTATATGATTAAATCAGTTTTATATAAACAAAACGAATGGTGTGATAATTAACTGTTGAAAAAAATTAATCCGATCATATAGCTATCGATATCCGATCAACGTGATTTTTTACAGGCATATAATACTCGACGAGTTGTACATATTGAACGGTTCAGATTATTAAAATAAGACCCATGGTGGCCCCCACGGACCAACCATCACTATCCAAATACTTTGCTCCGAATGAGGCAATAATTTTCTGTGTAAGACATGTTGGGACAGCAGGGCAGCCATACAACCACTCCACTTTCTTCCACTATATATTTTATTTATACAATTTTTTATCATACATTTTTTCATAAAAAGACAAAAAATTAACCCAAACATCCATTTTTTTCCTTCAACTTTTTAGTTCAAAAAGATAAAAAGTGCACTTATTTAGGACACCCCAAACAATCCTTTAATTTCTCTTGGGAGTAAAGTTAATAAATTAATTTATTAATTTATTTAGGACATATTATTTTTTTATGTTTTTATATATTTTTTCATAATAAATTAAAATTTTAATTTATAAGTCATTTCTCAAAACAACTATCCATGCAAGTTCACAAAATCTTCTTCTACTTTTTCTTTACCTTTTTTATTGTTACTATTATTATTATTTTTGGTGACGGAAACCCACCGTGACAAAATAAAATCCTAAGCCTCCGTTTGGAAAGTGGGTTGATTTTTTGATTTTTTGGCTATTTTAACCTGGGCTATTTTAGTTTGATTTGGGAAGGATTTTTTGACTTTTTTTGTAAGAGATGATTGTAATGATTATGGGTTAGATTTGATGATTTATTTTTTGTGGCTAAAATAGCC